CACCCCCCCTCCCTGCCGCCCCCCGAGCCTTCCTGGGCGCGCGGGGCCACACCGGGCCGCTGCCGGCGACGAGTGGGCGGCCGAGGGCCGCGGCATCCCCCCCTAGGGGGACCCTCGCCCCGCCCGGACTGGAGGTGCCTTTTTGTCTTCCCCCCTTCTTCCCATGTTTTCCCATGTTTCCTGGGGCATCAACGATGAATTGTGTCTGTGTGTGTTTCCCCCCCCCCCCTGACTGACGCTGCCCCCTGGCTTTGCGGGCGCAGCCGCTGGCCAGCGCCTCGAGGCTGGAAGACCTCTGGGAACCGACGAGAATGCTCGCAAAACCTAGAGGAATCGACGCATCCCCCCACTGAGCCCCCCTCGTCTCGGGAGGTAAGTCCATACGGAGACCGGGCACTCCGCAGTAAGGATTTTTAGACTCCTGTCAGGAGAGGCTACGGTCAGACGGAGTGAGTCCATACAGAGACCGAGCACTACGGCAAAGTCCAGACTGAGTGAGTCCATCCGAAGACCGAGCACGAGGGCTAAGTCAAGACGGAGGGAGTCCATGCGGAGACCGAGCACGAAGGCCAAGTGCAGACGGAGTGCGTCCGTCCGCACGGGGGCCGAGCACTACGTTTAGGTCGGGCATGTCTTGGCGGCGCGCACAAGGGGGTGGGGGGAGGGGGGAGGGCTTCTTAGAAGCATGCTGCTTCTTAGAAGCGCCGGCCTTACATCTATAGATAAGGCCCGCGCCTTCTAAGAAGCAGGGGTGCTTCTAAGAAGCCCTCCCCCTCCCCCCACCCCCTCTGCGCGTGGCCGCCGGCGGCGAGGCAGGGGCGGGCCGCCCCCCGCGCGCGGCAGCCTCGGGGGGCAGGACCGCACGGCGAAGCGGCCGGCGGGCACGGAGGGGGAGAGGAGGAGGGCGGCTGCGGAGATAGGGGGCCACGTGCGAGCCCCACCCCTACCCCCACGATTTCTGAGGGGGAGGGTGGGGTTCGCTTCGCTAGGGATCTCCCGAGCGAAGCGAGCCCCACCCTCCCCCTCAGAAATCGTGGGGGGTAGGGGTGGGGCTCGCACGTGGCCCCCTAGCAGAGGGAGACAGGGGAATGAAGAACGGCAGGAGCAGAAAAACTCCTGGGTCCGCGCAGTCTCCTCGGATCCGCGCCGGAGGCGCCGCCAGGGAGGGCCCAGCGCGGATCCACGAAATCCGCGCGGAGCGCGAAGAGTGTATGCTTTGTCGCCAGAGGCTGTTCTAGGGTTGGCGAACGTTTCCCTTGACTCCACCACGTCTTCTCGCCTCGGGTGTGCGTTCCCCCAAGACAGGGAGGAGCACTCCGACGCGGCAGACGGGGAGGAGGCGCGGGCACGCGCCCGACGTGGATGTTGCGGGTCCCGTGGGTCGGGCGCGCGCGGGCGCCAGTGCTCCACAGGCGGAGGGAGGCGACGCACGAGGCCAGCGCCGCCTGTGATGTTTGCTGGCCTCGAACTTTTGGACGCCCGAAATGGGCACGCCCGAAATGCGCAACAAATGTTGTCCCGAACCAACAGCGGCCGCTGTTGGGCAGGCGGCCTTCTGTCTCAAATGGAGACAGGCCGCGGCGGCGCGGACAGCGAGCCCTGCTCAAAATGAACGGGAACTGCCGTTGGGCACTGTGCCCATTCTTTCTGTACCCATGTCGTGCGTGCCGAGAACTGCAGCCCCATCCCCAAGGCGGGCGTGCCCGCCGGCGGTGCCAAGCTCGGGGAGGCGCCCTCGGACACGCCGAGGGGGGCCTCGGCACCGAGGCGAGGCGACGGCAGCCACGGGGCCAGGGCTCTGCTCCGTGGCTCTGCCTGGGCGGCGGGCCGCGCCGCGTCTGCGAGGGGACGGGGCCCGTCGCGACTCCGCGCGGCGGCATCCGGGACGGCGCCTCCCCGAGAGGAGCGCGCCTCCCCCAGCGTGGGGGGAGGGGGGGAGGGGAGGGGAGGGGAGGGGAGGGGGAGGAGGGAGGGGGAGGGGGAGGGGGAGGAGGAGGGGGAGGGGGAGGGGGAGGAAGAGGGGGAGGAGGTAGAGATGGAGGAGGAGGAGGAGGAGGAGGAGGAGGAGGAGGAGGAGGAGGAGGAGGAGGAGGAGGAGGAGGAGAGGAGGAGGAGGAGGAGAGGAGGGAGGAGGAGGAGAGGAGGAGGAGGAGGAGGGGGGGGGGGCACGCGGCAGAGGCGTGCCGACGGAGGCGCGGGGCCCCTGCAGGGAGCCTGCTGCGGGAAGCACGGCCGCGAGGGCGGCCCTCCGAGCACCCGTCCACGAAGCCCGAGTCCCTCCTGCTCCTCCCGCTCCTCCTCGCGGGCGTTGGCAGCACTGGGCTTCGTGGGGCCCGGTTTCGTGATGCATACTGGGGGACGCCCCCGCCACCGAAAAAGCACCTGTTACGGCAGACCCAGTTCGGGGATGCACAGACCCCCCTTTAGTAAAACGTGGTTTAGTGAAAACGACCTGAGGCCCAAACCTGGCGGGCGCAGGCCTGGAAAATAGCGGCCGCGGCGCCCTCTCGAGAACCGAAAACGAACAATTCACTAATCGACGTGTCACTGTTGGGGGTTCTGTCCACCCCCGAATTTAGTGATGCGTACCGGGGGACGCCCCCGCCACGGAAAAAGCACCTGTTACGGCAGACCCAGCTTAGTGATTCTGGTGGATTTAGGGGCTCCGGGGCCCTACCACTAACCGGGTCCCCTTACCTGGGGCCCTGGCTGTACCCGATCCTCGTGCTCTGCTCGCGGGCCCCTCGGGCCGTCTGTACGGCTCTCCTGGGGGCCCTTTGGGGCCGCCCTGCACGCTGCGCACCTAAAAAAGCTGCGAGTTTGCTACCGACTCCAGTTATCCTGGGAAAGGAGAGGAGCACATGTTTGCCTCGTCGGGCCCTCTCGAGGGCAATCTCGGAGCCGTCTTGGGGGCGTCGCGGGGCCCCCGCCGCCTCGTCCTCGTGATCCTCCTCCTCCGCCTCTTCGCCTTCCCCCTCCTCGGCCACCTCCTCCTCCACCTCTCCCACCAGGGCGGCGGCGGCGGCGGCAGAGCCTGAGGTGACGCTGAGGGAGGAGGAGGAGGAGGAGGAGGAGGAGGAGGAGGAGGAAGGAGGAGGGAGGAGGAGGAGGAGGAGGAGGAGGAGGGAGGAGGAGGGAGGAGGAGGAGGAGAAGGAGGAGGAGAAGACGGACGTGGGAAAACTCTGAGGCGTAGGAGCAAGGAAGAGACGATGGTGCGGCATAGGTGGAGGAAGCGGCAGCGGAGGGGGGGAGCCGGCCCGTGGGGGGGAGGCCTGCAGAAGATGTTTGCCCTCCAGGAGCTCAAGGCCCAGTCTTGGACAATGGTCTGCTAAGCAGGGCTTGTGCTGCTTTGCGTGGCGTGCTGTACGTGTTCTGCCCATGTCTCATGGCTGCGTCTCGGAAGGCAATGGGAGAGACGAGAATGAGACGAAGCCAGGACGAGGACAAGTTCGGGTAAGGATGAATCGATGAGATCCCGCGGCTCTGGAGGACGTTTCGGGCTCCACGGCCTTCTCAGAGCGTTCGGAAACGCTCTAAGAGCGTTCAGGAACGCTCTGGAACGAAATCCATCCTCGTCCTAGCCCCGCCCAGAACGTGATGGACGGGAGGCGGAGGAGGAGGAGGAGGAGGAGGAGGAGGAGGAGGAGGAGGAGGAGGGAAGAGGAAGGAGGAGGAGAGGAGGAGGAGGAGGAGGATAGGAGAAGGAGGAGGGGAGGAGGAGGAGGAGAAGGGGGAGGAGGAGGAGGAGGAGGAGGGAGGAGGAGGAGGATAGGAGGAGAAGGAGGAGGAGGGAGGAGGAGGAGGGGGGGGGCAGGAGGGAGGAGGGAGGAGGGAGAAGGGAGGGAGCAGGAGGAGGAGGAGGAAGCGGGCGCGGGCGGGGGCGCGGCGCACGGGAAGAAGCCCATCTGCCGGAGCAGGGCGGAGACGTTCTTGGCGCCTGGCAGAGTCAGGGCGGGCCGGGGGGCGGAGGGGAAACCACCGAGCATTAGGTCGGGCACGTCCTCGTACAGGCGGATTTGGGAGGAAAAAAATAATCAAGAAATGCTCGCCAAAATCATAGAAAATACTCCCCCCCCAAAAAAAAAACGCACCCAGGAAGAACAGACACTCCCAGACGCGCCACGGGCGCAGTTCCTCCAGGAGCGGAGCGGTGGCGCCCTGGCGCCGAGCATGCGGCCTCGGATCGGCGGGGGGGAATAGCGATTGCGCGCGCGGTGTGCCGGGTCGTGTCTGGGCAGGCCAGAAGTCGGGCAGCATCATTGCTCATGCGTTTTGTTTTGGTACCTGCCCATGTGTCCTGTGGGGTCGGGCTGCCTGACATAGGGTCCACAGGGGGTCTACATATGGTCGTTTCTTGCCCAGAACCCTCTTCGCCCAGTATTCCTTCTTCCTCTTAGCCAGACCCTCCCTCGCCTCCTTCCCCTCGTGCTCGAAGGGCCGGAACTTATGTAATCCAAAATTCAAATAGCAACGCACAGCCTGCGTGAACGGCACCGGGAAAACTGCCTGGATTTATGGGCACGATCCTCGGACACACGCCTGGATACCCGCAGCTCGACAAGGAAGCGATAGGATCTGCCTACGCGCCCCCACAAGCCTGGGAAATGCTGCGCGGGAGCTGTCCAAGCGCTGACCAAAAGCCCAGGAAACGGTGCCTTGAAGCTCCGCGGGCGCTGCCCGCAAACCTAAGAAATTCTGCCTAGGACCTGCCTAGGTGCGCCTGGGAAGCGCTGCCTAGGCGCTGCCTAAGACCTGCGTGCAAGTTCAGGAAGCGCTGAAAAAGAACTGCGCAAACGCTTGAGACCCACACAGTGGGAATGAGGAGGACAGCGGTTGCAGGACAAACTGCTGGCTCAAGCAAGCCACCGCGACGCTCATTGGCCAGCAGCCGCGGCGGAAATAAGGCTGGCCTCCCTCAGCCTGTCAAGTGTTTCGCAAATCCCCTCATACAGCTTTCTAGGAGAGCTGTCCAGGAATATTATGCCCGACTCTCTCTCTC